AAACAGTAATAGTAGTTCGGGAGGCCCCCTAGTGGACGGTCTAGCAGCAGCGGTGTCATTAAAGTTTTGTTACACGGTCAATTATCTTACGCAAAAAATAATCGATCGTTCTTAAACATACTGGTACAGTCGACCTCCCTATAACACGGTAGATACGTTCCTGTTTTATGAATCCAGCTTCTAGAAGTCCAGCCAATCACAGCCCGGCACGTATGCAGTTTAAAACTACGGCTGTTTGAAAGGTTTACTATAACACGGTAGATACGTTCCTGTTTTTATGAATCCAGCTTATAGGAGTCCAGCCAATCACAGCCCGGCACGTATGCAGTTTAGTACTACGGCTGTTTGAAAAGTTTCTTCCATAAAATCAGTCGATTCTAGACTAATTCGACTCAACATTTCGAAAACACGTATAATCTGTTGGGAATAATTCATATAAACTATGCTATAAACAAACAATTGTAGGATCACCGTTCGACTACGCCGCTGCTTAAGCTTGTTTTCGTCGTGAAGATTGCCATCGGATGGCGCTCGCGCGCTTCCTGATAAATTGTTTTTTTTAGCGAAAAGTTCGCTGAACTTTAGAGACATTCTTGATATAAATTTAATTTTTATAAACGTTAAATAATAGTAGGTTCGCTGCTCGTTTAAACTCAACAGTTTGTGCAATCCTGTCGAGACACGAGTCGGCGATGACGTTTTACCGAATTATAGGAATTTTTTACCATGTATATACGAATACTGACGGATTTTTATCGCCGTGATATAGAAATTCGAACTACATAAATTCGTGTTATAAATGGGTCGGCTGAATTTATTGCTGAAACGAAGTTGAAAATTATAGCTAAGCAAAAACATTCAAGTAAAAAAATCTACTGAAAGTTGTGGCATAAGAATAGTTATTTCCGATTTACAGTAAGGCTCAACACGAAAGTAAAGTGCCCATTACACAGACTACAGCTACATAAGATTTTATATTGNAACTTCAAAATATGTTGAAAAGTAGTCAGCCATTATGCAATACCAATGGCTTTTTAGTTTTAGAAGATCTACTCCTAACAATTTGCCAAGGTCTCAGGGAATTTGCTTGGGATAAGAGGCTCTTTATGATATTTTTTGTATTGGATGCATATGGGCAGTTCAAAATCAATTTCTCAATGTTTGCCAATAAGCCTGGCCACCAAACAGACTCTCAAGCTCGACACTTTGTTATTCCAAGATGACCTTCATTTAACCTGTTCAATATTTCTCCTTGAAGCTTTTCTGGAATGATAATCCTGGCATCTTTCAATAGAATCTTATTTTGGGGAGTAATTGAGTTTCTGTGCTCCCAATATTTTCATATTTTCTCGGGTATTTCGTTTTTCTTTGGCCAACCAACCTTCTTCACAGTTTCATCAAAATTTTTCAAATTGGATCTCTCTCCTGTAAATACACAGTTTACGCTAACCATGTATCAGATACAGGAAAGGTATCGATGATATTTTGAATATATATCTCAACCTCCTCGGTCAAATCTTCATTCCTCTGTTCGGGTATGGGGCTACGAGATAACGCATCTGCAATTAAAAGCTGCTTTAACAGGTTGTATACAATGATATAATCATATCTCATTATTCGTAGCTTCATTCACTGCAGTCTTGGAGTAAGACTGTCCAAAGCCTTCGACATGAAACTTGGTATCAACGGTTTGTGGTCTGTATCAATATTCACGACTTTGCCCATTATATAGTCGTGGAATCTCTCACAAGCCCAAACAATTGCCAAAGCTTCCTTTTCAATTTCCAAATATCATTTCTCGATATCCAACAATGTCCGAGATGCTTAGCAAATTGGAGACGTGACCACTTTTACTATGATACAACACAGCACCAATACCATAAGATGATGCATCACAGGAAATATATGTTTCTTTCTTTGGATCAAACATCGATAATCTTGATAATCCTGGAGTTTAACATAGCTGATTCTTGATCTCTTGGAACAATGTTTCCTGTGCTGGCCTGTGCTCATATCCATTCTACATTGTTCTTTAACAATTCATATAGAGGGTTTGCAACGTCAGCCATCCTTGGT